ATTTTAAATATATAAATATTTTGTCGTTTAAAGACATTTAGCACAGAAGGTCATCGAACAATGCATTGCTCTTTCTAAACAATCTTCACCATCAGTTCTCAACCACTCACAATTGCAATGGCCCTAGGCATTATGGTTTGTTTTCTTTTGTTATCTCAACATACATTACAGTCAACATGTGTGTGTGTTTACCCATTCTTATAGTTATGACCATACATAATTCTGGTTGGATTTTCTTTTTCCTCTTCATCTCCCTTTCCCATAAAGCAGCATATTAAGTGTTGATAACAGCTAACTATTTTAATTTGATAGTCCCGTTCTTGTTAGGGTTGGTAGCCTTCTACCATTTTGACTGGGGGATATTGTGCCTTCTGGCGTTTTTTTAAAAAATGGTGCTAAATCCTCTTATTATTCTCAAATGGACTAGATCCATTGATTGAACTGGACTTGTCATGTCAACAGTTGTCCTGTAACTCAGTGCATCTATTCCACCTGAGGCTAAATTGGGTTTAGCTCATCTTGTCCTTCTCCTTTGATTCCTAAGTGAGTCTGTTTCACTGGACAAGACAAGAGACTAATTCTGTATCTAAAAGCAGTACAGTTTGAAGAGAAGGTTTTCATTTTATTCCAATACAAACTTGTCTCAATCCACACTTGATAAATTAGCTTTTTTATGTTTTGTGATTGGTCAGATGGCACAGCTTTGTTTGCATGTCTGAGGTCTCAGGTGTGTAGCACTGAAAGATTTACCTAGACTGGCGGGATAATATTGTAAGAGGAGGAAATAAACTTCTGCCTTCATGTGTGATCTGACCTTGACACAGTGGCTTCAGCAAGATGTTTACCCGAAGACTTCGCGTAAAGACTGGGTAATTTTGGAGCACATTCTTGAATATACTTTCTTCAGCATTTGGTGTTATCCATCATATATATCAAAGCCTTCCAAACCTTGATTGGGGACCTTCTTATCTCATAGATCTCTCCAGTCATTCATAGAAAGGGTGGGCATAGAGTTCCTTGTACTAATATTGGCTCTCTCATTCTAGTTAGCCCTATCCTATTGGTGCCAAACACTGCCTATTTAGGATAGTTGGAGAGCTTACCTTGGTTCTCAGACATAAGACAAAAGTATGAGAATTATTTGTTCGTAGACTAATAAAGGATGTTATATGAGTAGTTACTGCGGACAAGATTTGTCAAAAAAAAAAAGAGAGAGAGGATCCATTGAAAGCAGAAATGTACTTTTATTATATTCCACAAACCTCACTATTAAATTCTTGCAGACTGAAAATTACTTGAAAACTGATTTGTCCCAGAGCACATAGCACTGATTCTTGCAATTACTTTTGGTATACTCTGGGGAATATTTCTGAATTCCTCTTGAGTTTTTCTGAGAGCTGAGTTTCACTGGATATTTCAATCCCAACAGAAAATGTGCCCCTTTGAACACTACCCAGACTTTAGCACAAGACAAAGGCTCTTGGGAAACATTCTCCCAATGTACAATATAGATTTCATCTAAACCAAATCTGGAAAACTTGCAGGCAACTTTAGATGCCTGCTGCAGTCTGTACATAGATGAGTAAGTTTGTTTCAGGTTCAGTAACTTTCACATTACTCTCTTGATTTGATATTAATGAAAAACATCCGTCAATGGAAAATCCACCTGGCACGTTTTGCTACATGCATCCATTTGACATCAGTGTGACTTTCCTTGGATCAGGTTCTGGGCATGTGAATGTTCAGTTCAGATGTCACTGAATTTCAGTGGAAAATTCCTGTTCTAAAAGTGAACCAGCTGAGAGCTAGGGAAGGTTATCCTTTTGCAGAGGCATTGTATGCACGAGTGCTAATGACTAGAAGTACATCAAAAATTTTCCTTCAGATTTTTTCATGCAACTTTCAAATTAAATATTTGTGTCTCCTGTTGGAAATAAATTTCTCTGCTTCTAAATGTGATTTACTACATTTAATTCCACCTATAGAACTCATGAATATTCCTTATGCTCTAGATCACTGGTTCTTAACCTTGGGTTACTCAGGTGTTTTTGAATTGCAATTCCCAGAAACCCCAGCCAGCACTGCAGGTGGTGAAGGATTCTGGGAGTTGCAGTCCAAAAACACCTGAGTAACCCAAGGTTAAGAACTACTGCTCTAAATCAGGAAGGGTTGGACCATGGAGCTTAAACTTTTGAAGCCTCATCTTATTGTTTAATCAGCTATGGATTCACTCAGTGATTCTTGGAAAGTTATTCTCTCTCAGTCTCATTTTCTTGATTTTTAAAATGGGCACAATAATGACAACCTACAGATTAGTTGTGTGTATGGAAAGATAATGTTGCATTCATGGACATGTAACTCCATTCTGCATGTGTGGTGAGGAAATCCAATGTGCAAATGGTAGGGCAAGTAGTAACACAGTTAATATTTTGCCTATGGACTGCAAGAATAAGTGCAGAATCATTTTTTCACAACTGGAAAAATCAGCTGAACTCTGCTAGTGCATTGTTTTCCTCCACTACTGTTAAATGAGATTAGTGAAAAATTTAATTCAATTCTAAAAAAAAAAAATACGCGCACACACAAAAAACTGTTTATGAAAGTGGGGTACTGTATTGTGTTTCTGAGTCCATGGTTCAAAAAGCTAGTAAATGGTCTAATATTGCTGCACATTATCATGCCTGCACTGCCAGCAGGAAAAAGGATGCCAAGCTTTATATAGCAAAGGGCAGCCTGAATGCTGACAACACTAATGGCAACAGTCAAGATAGGCTACAGGATGCCTTCTTGTGCTAACTACCATTCACAAAGTGACACCACACAAGGGAAAATCCCAGAAGCTGACTCCTTTTTTCATCAGTTAACCACTTATCACCCAAGTCAGGGCTGGATGATAGTGAGCAGAAAAGGACTCCAATTTTCGGTTTCATAGTTATAATTTTTTGTTTGGGGCAGCCCTGTTCCTTCAGTTGGCTTACAGAATGCTGAATCCTGCTATCAGAAAATAGGTTGGTGCCCTCCTGGGCACCAATAATTTCAGAAATTTCTATCGCCTGCAGGTGGTAGAAATTTCTGAATTTCAGTCATTCTCACAACATCCGGAGTAACGCTTGGATAAATATTCTTGAGGACATGCTTTCAGTGTTGGGCAATTAATTGGCAGTATACCTTTACTGTGTGTACAAGGGTGGTAATCTGTATTCTCCAATGGCCCAAAGCCTCTTGCATAACTGAGGAAGTGATGTTAAGAAATCATTGTAGACACTATCAGCTGCACAACACTGTAATCAACAGAGTGATTTTTTTTAACTTAAGGCAATTCACCTCCAAAAGTAACATCATTTGTGTTATCCTGCATAACTAGGTAAGAGGATTTGGGTCAATATGTTTGAATGCTCTAGAGATTAATACTATTTAAAGGTTTGAAACACAATGAATCTCAGAAGATGACAAATGCCTGTGTCTCATCTGTGGAGAAAGTTGTGATTAAATTCATTTGTAGAATAATGTATGTGAAGAATATGCAACTGCCACATATGCATGTTCACTAAGAATTAAGTGTCATCATGATCAAATGGGTTCAGTCCTAGAAGGTGTACAATTCCAATTTCAGTGTATTTAGATTGTCACAACTGAGGGATTATGGTATGTACAGTTACAGAAGTAGGGTGCTCTTGGGATGCTAAATTGTACAGGATTGATTCCTAGAAAAACCACAAAAGGCTTATACAATCTGCATCCCATCCCATCTCCTGAAAAGTTACCTTACATATTGAATTTATTTAATTGTAATACTGGATTTATATTTGAAATGGTCTGAAGACTTATCCAACTAGGAATCTACCTACTGAATATATCTTCTGTATTATAGTATTGTGATTTATTTCGAAGTATTGGTTTTCTTTAAAAAAAAGTTTTGTCCTTTTCAAATGTGATGGATTTTGACAGGCTGTGGTTGCACAAACAAGTGCAACCACAGCCTGTCAAACAGAAACAGAAAAACAGAAAAAAGGGGGAAAATCTAATAAATATCTAAATACACAATGCTCTCCCTCCACCAGGGTCACTGGGGAATATCAGCCTTATTTAGCCTTGTGGAACCCCATTACCCTTCCAGAACTGCATTGACTCTTACAAAATTGATAAATTCTCCCCATAAATACATCTTTGCCAGGTATCACCCTCCTAACTTTTATATTATAAGCAATACCCCTGTACAAATCAGTTAACTGGAAATTATAAGCTGTTCCAAGCAATAAGCAATCTCACCACTGTCAACAAACTGGAAATTAATTCTTTAGTTGTAAATTATCTTCCTCCTTTTCAAATATTGATAAAACCGCTATTTTAGGACATGCTGTTAAGTTTAGCTTGCTTATTTCGTTTATTTGCTTAAAAGCCAATTGCCAAAATTTCAATATATTCCCACCACATATGAAAAGAAGTACCTACTTTTCTAGCACCCTCTCCAGCACTTCTTAAGATAATTACTGTCTATTTGCTCTTAATTTCCATATTAGCAGCAACAAGAAACTCAAAGTAGTGGTTCCACTAAGTCAGGTGGGGGCATAAGTGTTCCTAATAAATAAAAATAAATAATTTTTCCTTGACCAGTGAATGACAAGAAGCTCATACTGTGAGAAAAAAAATAGTTTATAACTGATCCATAAAAACTATATAAGCAAAATAAAAAAAAACAGGAAGGTAATTCTGGAGTATTGAGATCCACTTTGAGTTCAGTTGTGGTTCTCAGTTGGTCCTTTCTTTGATGTCTGAGCACATCTGCAGGGGTCTTCCTCAAACGTGCTTCTAGGAGTTCTAGCAGTCAATTCTGGAAAGGATGTTTTCTCTGATAAATGAAGGATCTTCCTAGTAAACATTATTGGCCTTCAGTCAGATGCTATAATATTAACTTGCTTTTTGTTCCTTGCCTTTGTTTTCGATGACATATTGTGTTCTAAAGTGCTGATGTGGTTCTTAATTAGGTTTCTTTGTTCTAGGAAGCAGAATGTGCGTACACACTGCTTGTGGTGGCCATCTTTTGGCTTACAGAAGCTTTGCCCCTGGCAGTTTCGGCTCTGCTTCCTGCTCTGATGTTTCCACTCTTCGGAATTATGGCTTCCAAAGAGGTATAATTTTTTTTCACTTTCTCTACTATCTGTTTAATATTCCCAAGATGAAACCATTGTATATATATATTCTTTTTAATCCTGTCTATGTTTTATATGAATCGTACTACCATGAGGTCTTGAAACTGTTTACCCAGCACACTAAGCATATTGACTTGGAGCTAGTCCCTAGAGAAGTCAATTCAAAAGAAGAACATGGTGGTTGTCATTGGGACAACTGTTTTCCTTGTTTCTGACACCATCATCCTCTTTGGGGCTTTTTTTCTTCCCTTGTCATACCAGGCAGATCAGATTCTGTGCCTTCTAGTCCTCATTTCTTCCCATCTTTATTCAGAGTCTCTTGTGGTCCACCATGAAAATCTCACCACCCCACATCTCCTATTGCTTGTCTGTTTCCATAATCAGCTCTGTTCAGCCAGATCTGTAGGTTTCACTGCCTATGCAAGATTTTTGCAAGTTTTGATTGGACAAAGCAAAAGACTATGGAAATATAGAGGAACTACACATTCTGCGACTGTGGCTTGAACACTGTTGTAGAAAGCTTTGCATGCCAATTGGTTCCCAAACCCTGGCTCTACAATAGCTTTCATGCACTGCACAAAGATCTGGCTAGGAATCAGCATGTTGATACGAATTTAAAAACACATTGTGTATGGCCATAAACTAAATTCTAAAAACATACAACTGTTTTCACCTACTGAATATTACTAGACAATGAATATTGAATTGTAAAGTGGCATGGAGGGCAAGCTACACATTTTATAAGCAAGAATATTTTCACTTCAAATAAATCCACCAGCTTTTGAGATACTACATTGGACATGAAGGTTTTCAAGCCATGAGACTTAGAGTAGACTTATACTTATTCCCATGAAGCCAAGCTGTCTGCTTCCTCATGGTATCAACATTAGTATGAGTTTTACTGAACCCTTTCCAGGGGAAAATCACTGACACTTTTTTTTGGGGGGGGGGGTCATTCTCCTGTACAGACATTTTTATTCAATCCTCCCTTAAACCTAATTAGATGCCACTGTCCAAAGTCCTCTTGCATAATTATACCGGGAGAAGGAAAATGGTACAACTCACTTATTGAGTGCAAGTCAGGTGCATGACCAAGAATACACGTGGTGACTCATTAATCAGGGGCAATCTGGCAGGGCTAATTATGCCATTTCACTTCCACTGGAGTAAATATGCAATAGGATTTTGGCCACTGTGTCTCAAAGTAGTGTTTGCCAACCTCTTGAGCAAGTCTAAATTCTCAGAAAAAGCTTGTTTCTGTTCTGTTCATTCTCTTATGGCTACTGATGAGGGCTATCAGATCAGCAGTGTTGCATTTATTGAGATTTCAGGGCCAAAACCTGAAGCTAGCAGGTTGGTCCTTGTGTTAATACAGGAGAGAGCCCTTACGATACCAGAGGACTGGGTGGCATCTTTATGACATAACAGAGGCAGGGCAGGCAAGGAATGCATGTAAAGCCAACATGGCACACATGCATTGGAAGCACCTTTGTGCAGAATCAGTGAACGAGAGGGATGTCTGGTATTTAAAGATACAAATATTTTTTTAAATCAGACCTTTTGCTCTTCCACTGCTCTCAGCTTCAGACTTATCTCTGCATCTGGCGGCCTACAGAAGCATTGAACTACACTAGAACTTCTCATACCTAGCAATCCCGATCATAATAGTGCATGTACACAAATGGAGTCACTCACACGTGTATCACCCCATTGTTCCATGCACCTTTGAATGTGACTACCTGCCTTCCACCTATCCCATAGGGCTGGCCATAATGAAGAACCTCCTGGAAATTCAACCGCACCCCGCTTCTTACCTGTTCATCAGCAAGCAGTGCAGAAGAAGAAACATTTTTACATCTCTTCAGAGGGAGACGAACCACATGAAACATTAATAAAATTCATTGATTTAGGGAGAAAATATAAACACCAAAACAATGGTTTCCGTATTGGGTGGTCATACCCAGACTTCAAAGTAAACCAGCGAGTATATATGTATCCACTGAGTGTAAAGGGTTCAAATTAAAGCACTTTTGGAGTAGAGGTTTCAAGAAGAGTTTTATTGACAGAAACAGGTGAGCCTATTTTGCCTGTGCAATTAGGAAGAAAAAACTTCCTTTGGGCACAGCAAAATCCTATTTTGCCATTGGTACAAGGCATGAATTCCTAGTGCTTCAAAGTGATCCATTTGAAGAAATGTGTCTCTCCATATCAGACTCACTAGGTTTTAAGATCTTAGATGGAAGCCTTTCTCTTGGCCCTACCACCTGCACAGGTATATTTAGTGTGTACTTGAGACAGGGTCTTTTCAGTGACTGCTCCCAGGCTGTGGAACTCCCTCCCACAGGAGACCAGACCATCTCCCATCCCCTGCGGCTCTTCTGCTCGAAGACAGGCCTTTCTTTTCAGGCAGGTTTTTAATGTGTAAACTGAGAAAGGGAGAGTTGTCCTTTTATCATTGCACTGTGTTTTTAAAATTGTTTAAAAGGTTTTTTTATTTAGAACTTTTTATTAATCAATACGTTTAATTTTTTTAATAATGTGTTTTAATATCTGTGTTTTAAAACAATTTGTAAGGCATGCATTAATGAGACCTGGGTGGGAGAGGAGGGTGGTGTCCCCCTCTCCCAGCTGTGTCCGCCTGGGTACTCGGTCCAGCACCAATGTCGCTCAGAGGGTCGGAGAGGTGGAGTTGCTATAGTCTATAGGAGTTCTATCTCTTTGACCAGGCTTCCTATCCCTTTGAGAGGAGGTCTTGAGGACCTGTATTGTGTGTTGGGCTTACGAGACAGATTGGGGATTCTGTTGGTGTATCTGATGGCAATTTTTAGAGTATATATTTTAGTTGTATTTTAATTGTTTTATCTTTTTAATTGTATTTTAATTATTGTAAGCTGCCCAGAGCCCTTTGGGTAGTGTGGGCGCCATATAAGTTAAACAAATAAAATAAATAAATAATAAGTAAATAATAATAAATAGTAACTAACTAGGAGTTGGGAGGGCCACAAATAATGATAACAGATTACTTTTTACAAAAAGCATTCCAAGCAAATATAAAGGTTCCCCTTGACAATTTTTGTCCAGTCGTGTCCGACTCTAGGGGGCGGCGCTCATCCCGCTCTTCAAGCCATAGAGCCAGCGTTTGTCCGAAGACAATCTTCCGTGGTCACATGGCCAGTGTGATTTAGACATGGAACGCTGTTTACCTTCCCACCGAGATGGTACCTATTTATCTACTCGCATTTGCATGCTTTTGAACCGCTAGGTTGGCGGGAGCTGGGACAAGCGACGGGCGCTCACTCCGTCGCGTGGATTCGATCTTACGACTGCTTGGTCTTCTGACCCTGCAGCACAGGCTTCTGCGGTTTAGCCCACAGCGCCACCACATCCCTTAAGCAAATATATCTGAGGGAGTACAGATTACTTTTTACAAAAAGCATTCCAAACAAATATATCTGAGGGAGTTATACTTAGGAAATTATATTTAGTTAGTTAAACACACTGCACTTCATGGGCTGAACAGGTTGTGTTCTGAATTAGTCATTATCTTTAGAAATCATGGGAGAAGTTATCTTTTCATAGATGAACACATAAATTGTATATGTGTGTTTATGAAAAGATAACTTCCCTCACAGTTTCAAGATTTAGGGTATACTGTGAGATTATAAATCTATCCTACATTTCATAGTATGCAGTGGAAATCACTGTCGAGAACCCATACATAAACAACAGCCAGACTCCCCGACAAGGCAGGAATGCAAATAGATTTATATATACCCATCACAGAAATTCACTCTTACTGTTCTCTGATTTTTCATTAGTTCCATTTTATCTCATAACAATAACTCCTGATCCAGATGGGTCTAAGAGAGATCATGAGGACTGAAGGCAGCAGCTGTTGTTACCTTTTATTTCTCTAACCTGTATCATACATTTAGATTTTCAAAAGCCCCTTTCCCACCCAAACTGAACAATACCTTCTATATATTGTGTTGAAAAACTCAAGTGAAAATTGAGCTAACAAAATGATTCTTTCTTTCAGGTGGCATCTGCTTATTTCAAAGATTTTCATCTGCTATTAACTGGGGTGATTTGTCTGGCAACATCAATAGAAAAATGGAATTTGCACAAGAGAATAGCCTTGAAAATGGTGATGCTGGTGGGTGTCAACCCTGCATGGTATGTAGTAAATGGACAAAATAAAATGGCATAGAAATCTGCTTTCATTCAACTACATTTCTCCTACTCAGATAAAGTCACCACCTCTTTTATGACTGTGTTTCCTGTCCAGAAACAGTCACAGCTCTGATTGCCCTTTGCAAAATTGAGGGTTGTGGCAACTAAAGAGACAATACAAGCCTTTCTGGCTTCTATTTTGGCATAAAGGCCAGCAGCCAAGGGTCATAGTGCTCATGATTTCATGTTGAGCACAAGATTTCAGTTGTGATTTCATCCAAAATCTTGTGAGACTTTGATGAGCCCATATACAGTAGGTAAGGGTAAAGGTTCCCCTTGACATTTAGTCCGGTTGTGTCTGACTCTAGGGCGCGGTGGTTTTCCAGTCTTAGAGCCAGCATTTGTACATAGACAGTTTCCGTGCTCATGTGGCCAGCGCAACTAGACACAGAACGCCATTACCTTCCCACCGAGGGGGTACCTATTTATCTACTCGCATTTACATGCTTTCGAACTGCTAGATTGGCAGGAGCTGGGACAACCAATGGGAGCTTACTTGGTCACATGGATTCGATCTTACGACTGCTGGTCTCCCGACCTTGCAGCACAGAGGCTTCTGTAGTTTAACCGCAGCGCCACCACATCCTTATATATAGATAACCCGCAGTGCCACCACATCCTTATATACAGCCCATATATAGTCCTGCCAACACATGGTCCAACTAATCTTGACCCAGTAGGAGCCCAGTCTTCCCCATTTTGAAGGTTACCTCAGGAAGTTTCTGGTTGCTCTCATGGAGGGTAGGTTGGAGTTTTTTTGATGTCATTGGCAAAAGTCCTGCTCTGTGGCTATGCCCGCATAAATTGAATTTGCACAAGCAGTTGTGAAATTCACACCAAGGTGAAAGTCAAATCCAGCAAGCAGTTCCACTACTTACTGTTGCACAGGGAGTTGTGTGATCAATTGCACAATCAGCCATACAAGGCTGACTGCATGGGATAATTCCCTAGGAGCTTACATAGGCACAAATGCATGCTACTCCAAGGATTTTCCCCATTGTGACATTTTAAAAAACTTTTGGGAGAGGGGGTCTTATTTGTTCCCATTGTCCTGGTCATTGCTTTCTCTCTTTTCTGTCATCCTTATTTTATATGGTACTTGGCTATTCACTACTGGTAAGGGTGTAGAGCTCTAAACTGGTGAGTGGAGATGAGGTGAGGTGCTGGGAGGAGGTGCTGGAGGTTGCCTTTCATGCTGGGGATGGTGTACTATAGTCTTTCTGACCAGCTGCTTAATGACTGGTGACAGCTAAATTTCATCGTCAGGGTCATGCGACTTGGGACTCCTGCCCATAGTAGCTTTGGGTAGTAGCCCTTGGCATTAGCAGGGCTCTGGCATACACACTGCTCCCCCATATTACCTTCCAGGCATTCTGTACATGTACAACTAATGCTGCAGTCTTGCTTTTCATCCCATTTCCCACACCCATATTTTCCCTATCAATGGAATTGCATGCTGAGAAGAAATTCAGCAGGCGCTTTTTCTCTCCACCTCACACCTCTGTAGCAATTGAGCCTTCACCAGATTGTTCTCAGTGTCAGGCAACTCTTACAGAAGCACAAAACAAATGTTGAAGTGGCAACATTTTGGCAAGTTGGGGGTATGTAGCTGTGCCCGTTTATAAGCCAAAATTACAGTTCTGCTTGGCGGCTAAAGAAATTAGTTAAGAGCAGCTTTTTACTAAATAGAATTATACATACTGTATCTTAGAGGCGGGAGGATGGAACCCTTCTGTCACTGGCAATCATAATGCATGCCTCAAAACAAAATACCAGATGAACTGGTGAACAACTCTGACTCATACCGTTCATATCAACAACTGATATTAAGCAACTGGAGAGATGCTTTGTACATTATGTTGCTGTTTTTCAATTTGTAGCTAGGGCCATTCGCAACAGTATTTTTCTCCTTAAGATGATGGCAGGCAGGGCAGAACTACCTATCCCCAAATTGTGGAGAGTTGCTATGGACAATAATATGAAGCCAATGTAAATCATGCTGTGTTCCTTTTTTTTAAATTATTGCTCTCAAGAGGTCAGGTAGCCATCCTCTTGTCAAACAAATCAGCAGGGCAATAACAACCTCCAGGCACAACAGGCTTTTGGATTCTGAGTTGTCAGATTTTGCTGTCAGGTTGTCACCTGATGACAGGAAATTAGCCCAGTTAGCTAAAGCAGCAGTAACACTTCTGCTCCACCAGATTTGGATTGGATGGAAAGGAAATCCTGGCAAGAAACTAAGGGATGTCCTTGTATATCCCTGCAAACCAGAGTAGGAGCGATGCTTTCAATTTCATTATACTCTCTCCTGATAAGCTTTGTTCCTGATTACAAGGACTAACAATAAAACCTCACATGGCTGTTCAGAAATAACCTTTATTCAGCTCCTTGAGATTTAGAGCGCAGTCCATAGTAGCCAAAATACTGTAGATGAAGGCAGTTGAAGGAGCAACTACACTGGCACTAAATTTTAATTCAAAGGCTTTTAATTGAAATAACATCAACTGTGGGTCTTGATGGCAATTTTAATTGTATTTTAATCATTTTACAGTGGTGCCCCGCATAGCGAGCGCCCCGTTTAACGATGAATCCGCATAGCGATGTCGCTTTTGCAATCGCAAAAGCGATCACATTGTGATGTTTTTAATGGCCAAATATCGCATTGCGATGATCGGTAAGTGTTTTGCTTACCGATATTTGCATTACGATGTTTTTTAAACAGCTGATCGGCGGTTCCAAAATGGCCGTCGGGTAAACAAAATGGCCACCCGCAGCGTTTTCGCACGTTTTCCTCGCTTACCGGGCGGCGAAAATGGGGGCCGGATGGAGGATTTCTGCATAGCGGTGAGTTTTCCCCCCATAGGAACGCATTAAACAGGGTTTAATGCATTCCTATGGGGTTTTTCGTTTCGGATAGTGATGATTCCAGATAGCGACGTTTTTCCTGGAACGGATTAATGTCGCTATGCAGGGCACCACTGTATCTT